GCTACGATACGCGCCTATGCACCCTGGCAAATCACATATGTCTGGGCTGGGCATATCTACCAGTTGGCGAATCAACGTGCCATTGAATCCTCGTCTGGATCAGTTCAACTGAGACTCATACTTCATACTGTTGACTGGTGTTCTCGACTACCCAGATCATCTTCGTAAGATGCTAGTATTGAGATACAAATCACCTTGCCAGCGGCATAGTCGGATGATGTTTGGTAATAGCACGGCGTTGAGCTACATGACCTTCCAACGCTGCGCCGAATGCGAGATGCGTTACGAAGAGACTGACGACTGGTATTGGTACAGCCTAAGCAGAACAGGCAGTAGTCGCTTTGAACATATCCTACAAAAGTAGACGATTAGCTGCAGTAGACAATGTGTTAGAGATCGACCGATAGTTTCCACTACTCCGCCTGCCATTCCTAGTCTTCCTGACTCGGTTCCATGTTGGAGGTTTGGTCTATTCACTTGATACTTCTTCTCTCAGCCTTTCCCTACGGCACGGATATCTATACCCGTCTCCAGGACGCAAACAAAAGCCATCTGAGGGAAGTCTAGTCTACATGCCACCAGAGTTTGCATTCATGGTATTCTAAGGCGATGACTTGCTTCGATGGTTTGCAGCATACACCCTTTCTATAGCTGGAATTTTACTCAATTAGCTGTACTGAAATGAACACACCCAATCATCCCTGGACGGTCTGGTGTACTGATCCAGAATCATTCAAGTCCGGCTGGTACTATAGTATTACTGATCATTCATTTGTTCTCCAGACTACTACTTGGTGTCCTGCCATCGGATGAAGATTGAAAATGTACATTCGCCACATATGCTTTCCGTTCCCTTCATTCAAAGCGTTGTTGATCTCGAAAGCAGTATCAAAAACCAACCACGACAGGACACGGCTGCCAGGTTAAGCGTCTTAATGTACTCCAGCGTCGTGCTAGGCAGATCTCGTCGACAGGGGTGGAAGGTTTATCTTGAGGCTTCACTAAACCACACACATTGTAACTTGGATGCTGGAGAAGCTTTTGCTGGTCAATGTTTGCGTGTAGATAGTACTAACATGATTCAATACCCTGATCGAACCGCCTTGGATGACTGTGTACTCATTTTCACATTCATTGATAGATTTCTACGTAGAGCTTCTCCGTCTAGGATACAATCACGAAGTTACCATCTTTCTGGTATGTGCTTTGAGTAGTTGCCAGTTCATCATGTGAGCGAACTTACTAACCTACCTATTACTATATAGTCCGCTCGGCTCTGTGAGGAAGGTCGTCTTCTGTTAGAACAACTCTTTTCACGCTTCGCAAGCCTACCATAGGCTACAGGTATCTTCTAGTAAGATCCATAATATTGGTGGAATGTATAGAGTTGAGGGATGAGCGCTTATAGGAAGTCGACAGCCCGGAAGGCGATACAAATGATCTATGAACAGAAAGTTCAGCAAACTTGGTGAGATACAGTAACATTCTCTTTACGGCGATGCGTTCCATGAAAGGGCTTCAACCGTCATTCTGGGGTGACTGATGCTGAATACGATGCTGCGAAGGTCGCCCAAAGACTCAAAAGTGCCAACAAGCAAAGTAATGATGAAGCTGAACCGGCCCACCAAGTACAGCACAGAAAGATCAAGAATGACACTCACGAGTACTGATAAGATTGTGATCAACCAATACTTGTTCTGTCTACTACATTATCGGGTATGAGCATCAAGAGCGAAATATGTAACTGGAAACGCAGACGCTGGACGAAGCTACTTCTGCATAACCTACTTATCGGCATTATGATCTTAAAAGAGGCTGGAGATTTCGAGGACCTCGTGGAGTAGATTTGAGACATCGACAGTTGTTCCAACTACACATTGAAGGAGGTCAAGCATACTGCGTGGATCATTGAGGCACCTGTTCTGCACTTTAACAGTAGTAACAAAGAATGTGATGTTTGACGAGACCAAGATCTTATGCAGAGTATCTGCGGTCCTTTGCTTCACGATCAGAGAGCCTTTTGTCTAGTTCATAGAAATCATGGACACTGTGGTGGATTTCGGCACCTTTGTCGTATGGCCCTTCAATCGACTAACGGAAGATATTCAAGCTGAGAAATGTCACTGTTTGAATTAGGCCATGTAATAGACACAGCATTTGAGTATGCATGATGTATGCAACTCAAATTGTCGACTTCAGCTATGAATTCTTCACTTTCAAAAGCGCCCGCAGATCATCCAATACAATCATTGTGACAGGTCCGGAATGGACTTCGAAATTCGAACACTATGTTGCTACGCTGCGTGATGTTCTGCATGAAATGCTAAACATGTCTGAAGGACTACAAAAGTAGGGCATACGAGCGAATTGTACGACATACACTTGAAGATATTTGGTGAGTACACTTGTCATACTGTGCGAATGACCCACGGTGCGAAGTTAGATGAAACCAGTCTAGAGTCGTGAAAATATTCCTCGAGTTGAGGACCCTACAACTTATGAAAATGATTAACGAGTTCACACATCGATCCGAACTCCTGAGAAGTAGATACTGGCACTCAATTCTATCCAGTAATACCTTCTCAACCACCACTTCTAAAGCAATGGATACAGAGCCCACTCCAGGAAGCTATTGCACGTGCGAAGATGATTCTTGACTCATCAAGATCTGGACCGTGTAGAGCATTAACACACTTCAATAGAGGAGGTGTGGCGCTCAGCGCCAGGTCGGCTGAGGGGGTGACTCGACCAGAAGCCTCGCAGTACCCAGGCTTGGTTGACGTTTTTCGGTGGGGGCCAACCCCAACGCATAAACTCCGTGAACACAAGAGCAGGACAGCGGCAGGTTCAACAGCTTGATCCTTAACAAGAAATGGATGGAAGCCTTGAGGATAGAGATAGATAGCGGGTGAAATACCGCAGCGTACGGGCTACTACGTCAGCTCACAGCTCGGCCCAATTCTGCCCCACAAATTCGCATACAAGCTACAAGGAATTCCTCAAAAGTGTACGGAGTTCAATCATAGAGCAAATCACTCCAGGATGCAGAGACGGGCCCAGTAGTGGGACCGAACACGCTCCAGTCCAGTTCATGCGGCCGTGCAATTGTTTTCGATTGCTTGAAGTCTCGGACAACGGTCACAACATTGCCGGAAGCATGCAGCCGATATGAAAATCCCCTCGCATACTGGGCATTGTTCTAACTTCAAGCAGAGCGACTGACAATCCCGTAGTCGGTAAATACAGGGGCTCTCGGGGACGGAGTGGTTGAATCCCGGAGCACCTCAGCAGCTTTGGAATTCACGCTCCGGCTACGTGACATGGTGGCCTTGGACCTCTGCAAACCTTGAGATGAGCTAACAATCAATCTTGCACAAGCATCGAAATGACCCATAGGCCTGTTCTCTGGCCGCGGCAATGTACATTGTTTTCTACTCAGTCACGAGACTTTCTTACACAGAGTATTTACTTTATCCAACCCTGCGTCTTTCCTTCCTACTCCCCCGATCATGTTGACTTCGGCGACTATTACAAGATCAAACTACATTGGACCGCGATTACGAAACTGCCCCTGATAGTCAAGCTGTGAAAAGCTCCTATCTGCGTCTCCACACAATCAAAACGCAATGCATAGACGCGAGGGACAGGCTGATGAACCGGATCAAGAGCACTGACACATCTGGCCTCTTAAGAAGGTCAGGTACGCCGTCGAGTTTTCGGAGATATCCGAATGCTTGTTTGTGTTCCTAAAGGCGAGGACAATCTTCCTCAACTTCTCGCTCACGATCAGCAGCACGGTCTTGAAGGGTCTGTTGCGCTTTTCGACAGTCTTGGGGTTGCTTGCGCACATCTTCAGCATTCATGGCTCGTTTGACGATGCAATCATGAGCATGTGTGTATGCACGTAGGCGGACAAGTCTATCGATGATACTACTAGCTCGTTCTCGATCTTGGATCGGAACGTGAGGCAAGCAAGACAACGAACTCCTCATACCGGTAGCGCGCATGCTTTTCAATACGCGAAAAGTCAAGAACTACATTGGTCGCAATACAATGATCACTAACCTTGACATTGTCAAGAGGATAGCCAGGAACATCCACACTACACAATCTTGGGCATTGGCCCAGTACTAGATCCCGACGCAATCCCGGTAGGGAGAAAGAAAGGCCCGACGAGCGTTTTGCAGCTTTACCGTCTCCATCCAGAGTTCTTCCGACCGGATAATCGACCTCAGCCCTGAGGGACAATATCAGGCATGAAGTTGGACGAGAGCGCAGCCAGTGTAGCGAGATAGGATAGGAACGCGAAGCCATTCCTATTAGAACTTCGACCGGGGCCAACAGCGTGCTGGACAACAGGATCCTAGATCTCCTCAACCGTGCGGATGTGGGCGTATCAGCTAACACTACCGATAGCATCAACAAAAATTAGTAGTTGGACAGGGCTAGAACTTTGGCAGGTGAGGATAGTGGCGGTAGTGTGCTCAATAAAGGCGGAAGTTTGCTCAAGCGCGGTGACCTGCACATGCTTTTACGAAGGGGCCCATACAGCCATTTGCTTGATCCCACTGCCTAGAGTGTGTTTGATCAGTACTTGTAATCGGCAATGTAAAGCGGAGTTTTTAAGAAAATCACTCTGAGTATGGGACAGACGAGCATAGGGCAGATATTCCTCAACGGCACCAAAGTTAAGGATGTTCTGATATCCAACGCACTTAAAGACATGACCGTGAGCATAAACACATTTTTCTCGTTCCACAACAACCTCGTCAAGAAGATAGAACACACGTACAGCGGATCACCGAGGCTCCCTGTACCACAGGTACGCAAATGCTCGAGCCAGAACCTGCGACATTACGGTTGCGAGCGTGGATCAGACTGAGTCAGCCCCCCAGCATTGCGCAACGGTCAAGTGTGAGGGCGATATCCATGGATCAAGGACCATGGCCGAAAAAGTCTTCTCACGCAGGAACGACGTCTAGCAGTACGTACACATGGAGGTGAGCAAAGACATGAAGGTGACTACACACGTCGATGAAAGATGGGGCTATTGCGCCGTGTTAGCTACTTCCCTCGTTGCGCTCAATTTTCTTGGGACGACCTTGAATCAGAACGCCGATGCAGCTGCAAAAGTAGGTGTTATCCCGCTTACTTGAAGGGATGCAATTATTTGCGAGCTGGCGAGAAGTGTTTGAGATGGCCTCTGATCACATTCTTTCAGAACGATTGCATGTAAAGAATCAAGCCCATGTACACGCAGTTGCTCAACCCGAGAAAAATGTTTACATAAGTCTGCTTTAAAATCATCAAGAAGACATGGCCGAGGAGCGTTATTAATGTAGGAAGATTGCCCAGCGACACTGAGTCGAAGCGCTCGTTTGATGATTCGATTAGCGGCTCGGGTTCGACTCGGTCGTTGGACATGATTTGTGTGCGCCAACATGATGTGATTTGCATTGGAACCATTCGCGAAGTCGTTTGAACACGTAGGTCAAGTAATAAATGTACTTCACATGCGAAAGTGGTGGGGGCAAGTGAGGCGTGATGCCTGCCAGACTGTGAATGGACACGGATGCACGGATGCGGCGAGACTAGCGCCCTCTTCACGTCAACACGACCATGCCAAACTCACCCCTCAAGATGCCCAAACGCCCTCACCCGGCCAGCCCTCACGCTGCTGTGCCCTCACACTGCTCTGCCCTCGGTCCACCGCCAGGCCCGCTGCACACTGCCACCAGCCCTTCCAACCACCTCCACCGCCGAACCGCACTCGTGCACGCTACCCTTCGCACTCGGCAACCTCACCCGACCTCGCCCGCCCTCCATGTCGTCACAAACAGGCTCGCCCGCACACAGGGCGTGGGATGCATTCGCAATCAGGCCCGCTCTCACCCATCACAAAGCGCGTCATGCAGTAGCAGCAGCTGGCGGTGTTGCTAGACAATGAGAAGACAGACATGCTATCTCGTCTCGTCTCGTCTCTTTCGACTTCACGGGCTAGGAACGCGCGACATCATTGCTGCAGTCACACTGCTCAGAGCGTCGCGGAATGCCTTTTCGGCGCCGTGCCGCGACTTTACCTCACCCTATCCCACCGTCGGTCGCAATCACAGATGCTCGGCGTTTTCTTGTGTCGCTTCTCGCAAAGCTCACGAAGAGCGACATCATCCTGCTATGCCGGCATCCCCATCGCTTCCGCCGTCACGATTTGATGCCATGATGAGGCCAGGCCAGTCCTCATGTTGCATCGCATTGCACGCGTCATTTGTCCCTGGTTGCTCTAGCTGCTGAGCGTTTGCAGTACAACCAAAGTTTAGCACTTTGATGCCTGCGCGTCAAACGATACATGCGCGCCGCAGCGAAACCCGCACATCGCAATATTACCTGCGCCTTTGCACAACATCCACACTGTTGTGAGAACACGCCCATCTGCTTGCGCAATCCCGCTTTCGCGAATACTTACCTTGATCCAGTTTTCCATTGCAATGGGTATCCGGCGCGCCGACGCATCCTCGGCAATCACCAACAAAGCCGGTGCATTCGCTGCCGTCACCCCTCGCAATTTGTCCAGCATGAGCTCTCTTATCGACGGCACGCCATTACACGCTCCCCTGCAGCATCCGCCACCTTCGATGCCTCAGTCAGTTCGCCTGTGCGAACTCTGCGCTCAGCCTTTCCACGGGAATCACCGTCCTGCCGAGAGCTGACAATATTATAACCCCCTCAACGGCGCATTGCATTTGGCTTGCTTCGGGAGTGTGGAGTCTTCGGTGAAGCACGAATCACAGTCGCATGCCAGGCCAAGACGAGGGTTTCGCACGACGTGTTTCCGGCCAAGCAGCATAGGGCGTGATGAAGGCTTGCGTCGAGGCATTGGGTTTGTGAGAGGTATCCGTGTTAGGCCAAGTACAAAGCTAACACTGTTCAGGATGAAACTTGCGTCTGGGTGCCAATTCGACGACGATGGATTGCGGACTTGGGCTGCTCTCGGCACATAAACTGCACCATGTTGATATCATCATCTCGCGAACCCTGCGCTCGCTACCATTTCCGCTCTCCCACACGCGTCCATTACATGACGCTAGTGCCGAGCCGCGCTGCTTCCGATTGTTGCGCCCGTCCGCTCACGAGAACCGCCACGCCAAGGCTCGACAATGGCGAGCAGTGCGCCATGGTTTTCATTCACTTTCACCTCGGAGCGGGGTATGGGCTCCACCGTGGCTCTCGTGTTAAATCAAAACTGCAATCCGCGAGTTTCGCACCGTCCAACCTCGACCTCACCACCACGCCTACCCCACCTTGCCCGTCTTGCTCCCGTGCCGCAGTTAAGCCAGCGCGCCGCCAAGCATGCCTTCCCACCATTGTCGTCGCGTTGCAGTTGACTCCGCCAAAGGTATGTGGGCGCTGTGTCTCGCGACATTGTCTTGGACTTACAATCGACCAGCTTTTGCGGACCTGGTCACAACAACCACCAGAACCACTGCGTCGGACACAGTCGGCAGTTCGCTAAAACTATCAACTCAGTCTACTAGGACTTCGGTCGATGACACCACTGGCTGCCTCGATTGCGAGCAGCGTGACCCATTTTGTGACAGGCGACTACTGTGTCTGCCATGCGCACAACTAAATGAGCAAACGCGTATAGCTGGAGACGGTGCGGTGGGTGCCTCGGATCTTGCCATTGCCGGGAGCAATCGCGACGTGAGGGCCGGCGGGTAAGTCAGCCCGCTTCTGGCGACGACAGTCATGCTTACAGAGAATGAAGACAGCAGGTTTCGCAACCTCTGACCCCCCTCAACCACACACAACAAGACACGGCCGCCGACTCGCATTCACCGTCGCCGCCACTGGGCAATTTGCCCGTCTCAACAATCCGCCCGCCCCGCCCACTGAAAATGGTGGGCGCATATCCCGCTCCCATGAAACCCCGCCCGTTGAAGAGGCAGCCCCGAGCCGATAAGCACGCCCGACCCGATAGACTTCGCCAGCGCAATCGCAATCTCAATGGAGGCGTTGGAGGCGCTAGTGAGCTGATGTCGACCCCTCGCAACACGGAGCCCTCGACGACCCCTCGCAACACGGAGCCCTCGACGACTCCACCTTCGATGCGAGTGACCGACGTCCAGAGCCAATGTCGTGTCAATAGAACCAGTGGAGGCAACGGCGGGAATGGAGGCAACGGCGGGGATGGAGGCGACAGGGAGCAGGCGCATACACCTCCGCGGGCTCCGCCCCAGCCCGATGATTATCGCCTACCCGAGACGATGACTTTGTTTCCGGCATATCGCAGCCAGAGAAACAAGGGTATAAGTATCAACTCCGCTGGCACTAATGTCGCTGCGGAACGCCACGAGGTTCAACGACTCGTTGGCGACTACATCGAGCCGGGCAAGGTCAGTGATTCCGAGGACGAGGGGAAGTCGACTTCTGCTCGCCTACGAATTCGACAATGGGCACGCAAGAGTATGGGTCTTGGTCGGCATGGCTGGAAGAGTAAGGGTATGGATTGAAGACAAAATGAGTCTGTTAGAGTTGTGGCTGCGCACGTGATGCGTGCTTTCTTTTGCGATGTTCTCATTGTGCGGTTGGAGTCGAGGAGGAAGACGGCTTTAGGATGATGTCTGTGGTGCTTGGATTGATGCACCTGACGCGTACAAGGACGTGAGCTACTGGACTATATGCATTTGGGAGACATGGAATTGCTCCTTTGGTGCTCATACCGTTGCTGCTGTGGCGCGGTGGATTTTGATAGACTCGTGGGCAAGCTGGTCGGGGCTTATGGGTTTGATGAGTCTCTCGTAAATGATGTATATGCACTGGGTATTCATGAATCTTCACATCCATGGAAGGGTATAAAGTTTTACTGTATGCAAGCCTTATTTCGAAGTCAACCTTCCCTACTGAAACGCTCTCGTTCGTGAGACATGCTGCCGCACTCGCTCTGAACATTCGTTCAGCCTGGTCTTCAAAATCATTGAGACCATCTCTGATTCGCAGGGCTGCGCTCTTGTGGACAAGAGTAGTTCTGGTACATTTTTACGTTCGTTCTCCTTCTATGCCCCTCCGGCTTCCCTGACCCGCCCGGCAGGAATGGAGGAACCTTCCACTTTCTACTCGTACACTCATGCAGAATAGATATTGCTGATCCTTTGACATTTGCAGGTACAACCAAAATCAGCAAGGAACGTCGGGTTGAGGTTATTTGTTCTCTTTTCAAAGACACGGGCGCAGGTGGGAATTTAGTACACTCTTATCGTTCTCACTGTGCTTTCCTGTTCTGTTCGTTTTGCCGGAGTCAATGGTCTAGGCGATCAATGCGTAACTCACGCCTGCCGCTTCTTCATCAGTCTTCTGAACGCCTACTTCTCTGAAAAGACCTTTGGTGTCGCACTACTAGGTGTTCAGCAGGATATCATGCTCAGCGCTCCCGGGCTGGACGAACTCTGCCCCAAATTCATGAAGCTATTCTGAGCATGTGGGAACCGTCCGTCCCCACTGACTTCTCAGGCTGCTACTACCATCAAGTCTATTCCCGATTCATCGGAGCGTCCAAGATGCTGGAAATCGTGGACTGTTCAGCGACTTCCTCCACAGAACTAGGTACTGGCACCGGCTGCTGGCCCTCCACTGATGACTTTTCTCGGACGCACCTTCTAGTTAGAGAGGGAGTAGATCTAATTTTTGGCTCTGCGAACGCTGAAATCTTCCACTGGGTAGAAGTAGAAGAAAAACGAGCGATATGCCTTGGTATCTCTATGTTCATTAACTATTGCCTGGGAAACATTCACGCGACTCACGCTCTCGCTGCGTTGGCAGATCTTGGAGATCCTGGTGTCCGTGTTCTATCCATTAAGTTCTATTAACCCAAACATACCATTTATTCGATGAGATTGCTGCGAGACATCATCCCCATCGCCACAACTTAACTATGAAATTAAAACCTAAATTAGACGGAAGCGTATTATAGAAAAAATTCACAGTTTGTCCTACCAGCAACTCACTACACTGGAGGCTCTGAGGAACGCAGAACTTGCGACAGGTTTCGTGCGAGTCTCTGAATCTCAGTCCTCAACCCCAGTCTCCTTCGCAACTTACCCAGGCTTCGAAAACCTCTGCGTCGCCTCTAATCTACGCATCGCGTACCTTTTGGCAGTGCGTATGTTCTGGTGGGATTCTGCGCTTGAGGATACTCCTACTGAGTGCGAGGATGATCAGTCGAGTTGAAACGGGCGCTGGAGCGTCGGCAAAGTTCGGGATGAACGCCGCTTTCACTATGCAGTGAGTACGTTGTCATCGTTTGGCAATGCGTTCTAGACAAAGGTAGTGAACCTCCATCCTTGACCCGAGTGATGAACCATATCGGCGAGTCGAAAGAAGATGACAAGGCATTCGTGATCTGGCTACACATCCCCTTCTGCACTCGTACATCTCACTGCACGAGATACAAGGCGTGACGATTTGTATTTCAAAGGAATGCTTTCGTTCCAGGTACCCTGTCGTAGATTACTATTGAAAGCTACCTTCACAATTGACACCGCTTGCAAAATGAGGTGCTAGAATCATTTTCATTTATTCACCATAACGCGATGGAAAACTCTATCGTAAACAATGACATGTAATGGAACACGTCACAATATGATCGTCCTCCTACTAGCGGGGTCACAACTGTCAACGTTTGAGGGGTCTACTGGGAACAGATGCTGGGTGTGCAACCCCAATGACCGCTTCCTCCGTAATGGGAATAGAACCTTCTACACTTTTGGACCTTGACGATCACCGTCTTCTCTAAGGTAATGATATGATTGATGGGATGAATCTAGTCGAACTGCTGGAGGGTCAACTGAGCTGGATTTCGATGGCTGACGCCTACTTCTCAGCCGTGAGTCTGGCTTTGAATGAAACCATCGAAGTCGTTGGCTGGGAGGCCGCTAAAAACACAACATATAGTTGCGTCGATGCTGGTGTAGAGATGCACGCCGGTATCTGTCCCCGCCTCTCCAACAGCAGCGCTGCACAACGGATCGAAAGTCGTAGCTTCCGTGACTTGGTGCTGTTCGTCCTACAATTGAGTCGCGCTGTTACTCTTGCCATGATAGCACCCGCGCCTTCCGTCACTGGATACTAGTGCGCTTCCCACATCCGGACCCAATGGCTTATTGCCTGACTTGGGTGATGAAGCGAAGGTGTTTGTCTCGGTCTGTAGAGAATCGCCTGCGGAAACAGACCGCCCGCTCCTCTTCGTCGACGGCGTAGCTGCCCTAAACTGTCTTCTCCTGCATATCACCCTCGTTGTAATCAATCGTCATCGTCCCAGGGCAGGCGGGTCGCGCGTCGTGATTGACATCGTGATGGATGAGAATATCGGCATGTTCAGCAACGTCAGGGAAGGCTGACGGAAGGCTAGCGGGCGTAGTATTTTGCGCCGTCAAGAATCGGGTTTGGGGTTCTGATAGATTGCGTAGTCGGTTTGTTGTGTGAAGTTATAGAACCTCAAGCACGTTGTGTATCCTCCCGCAATTATCCTCATGCTTGTTAGCCGTCTCAAGCTCATGACGCACGTCAATGCCCGCAACATTGAAACGCGGAGTATTCGCCTGCTTTCTCGCACACGCCTCCTGTGCCAAGGCGAAAGAATCGCCGGTGTAGCGCGGTAGAGGCTTATTCCAAGTTGGTGTAGCGTGCAACGGCAACGACGGCTGGCTGCAGCGCACTACAACTACGGAAGCTGCGGGAACACCATGCCAGCGACGAACATCCGGCCCGGGCCGGGGCGTGGTAGGGCTCACTAGTGACGAACTTGGATCGGTTGGTGACGAGCTCGTCGCTGTTCTCGTTGTCGGACATGGTTGCGGGGGGTGGGCTCGTAACTGGAGGGCAGTGACAGCGGCAGGGCAAAGGTGTTGTGATGGAGTGCATGAGCTGCCGGCCCGCACGCTCGACACGCCATTCCGAAAGGCTTGGCGCACAATCGTTGTCACGCACGACGGGATCTGCAGACGCGTCACTCGGGATGAGCTGATCTTTCGAAGCGCAATGAGCTTGATGCGCATACATGTATCAACACAGACGATGTCCCGCTGAACCAAGTGTCATGCCATGCATCGAAAACTCGCAGCCGAGAATCTCAACCTGAGCTTTTGCGGCGAGAGGCTATCCACCAGTACCGCCCCTTACTAGATCTTTGGAGTCCCGAAAGAGCAGTTTGCACTATCCCATTTTTTCGCGACACTTTGCAATGGGCCCATTCAGCAGGCACAAAGAGCTTTTTCCCGCAGCAAATATGTGATGACGAGAGAGCAAGGGGTTGGTTCGTGTCCATGTCGGTGCGAGTGACTCTCATGATCAAGCTACATCTTGAGCCCAACTGCATCGGTCCAGGTTTATAGACTTTTATACAACATATCTATTCAGCTACAGAGTGGCATGTTCCTAGAGGCTCAATTACACATCATTCAGCTATTGATGAGTCTTGGAAGATCCTGAAACTTGATCGTGATAAGGAATGTCTCGCAAGATACGTCCAGTAATGACTGGTTATATTGTAGATCTTGAGCTCCTTAGGTAAATCTTGTGCGCGAAAATTACTCAAAGATAACAACATCTCCAAGTAATTGGATGGTGGGATTCTTCGCGAGTGCAGAGGTCCTTTCCTGTAAGTGACATCAGCTACTGGTATCTCCTATGGCTATTACCCAACAAGCATGGAAAACAACGATAAGGCTCTTAGAAATTGTCGTTACTAAAGGCAAGACCCTAAGAAACACTTACAAGCGGATTGAGATGTATCGATTTGCTGAGCATCATTATGGTCGTTGGGAGTGTGATTGCGACGGCATGTTCGGAACGAAGGTAGTTAGCTTTCAGGAATTGGATTCAAGAGAACAACAACGATCTCAGAGGAAATCTCAAAGCTCAATTTCAAACCTTCGAGATTTCTCCGGCCTACGTCCGCACCGAGAAGAGTATTCTCAAAGGGCTGCATGATAATCTGCACACTTCGTATGCCGGCTGAAGTGAAATTAAACATGAATCTGCATCCAAACCATGGATTCAAGCTAAATAGGATACAGTAACAATCCTGAGATAACAAGACTCCGGTATGGCCTTTGTTCCTGTTACTGGCCCGATGGTCACCCTGTATACATGAATTGTGCCTGTGTTGTTCTGGGGTGGGCAAAAGCTCGGATATATGTGTCCTTGAATGAGATGTAGAAAGATAGCATTTGTGTACGCAATGACAAGCAATTCGTCACATAAGATCGCTGCAAGTGAAGGTTCTGTAGTTATTGACCTCCAAGGCTCGAACAGGCATCTTGAGCAAGTGTTGATTTAGTAAGGATTTGCGAAATACTAGTACTAGCTTCAACTCAGGCTCAGTCTTTGCAAGGAGAAGAGGTAGGCATAACATTTCATGCCGATAAGCATAATGTCCGTCGTCGTAGAATTCAAGCTAGCTTATGGCGCCGATGATGGAGAATACGTCGAGAATGAGTGCAATAGCGAGCTCCTCCACCTGTGAACTCACTGCTACCGAACTTCCCTACCTCACCAACAAGAACGACGCCATCACCCGCGAGATGGCACACTTCGACCCTTCGCAACTCCGACGCGATTTCCGACCACCGAATCTGCCCAATACCCCTAACCCAACTGAACAATCAACACCAGTACTACAATGTCAAGAGCGTCAAGGTTATGCAGACGCTGGTTCTCAATATCACGATTTTCAGCTTACGGCATGATGAAGCCGATATTCCTAAGCCAAACACGCCTTGCGAACCAAGGGCCATGACTAGACGCGCTGCAATACTGTGTCGCGCGGCAAGCTTGCCGTCTTATTACTACACCATTGTCTCTGTTACGTTACATGGTCTACGGCTTTCACCGCTCTGGAAGCTGTCTCGCTGGCGATAGTAACTTTCGCGAGATTCTCAACACGCAATGCGTGAACTTCAAGGTCGAGACTGCTCACTCAATGCATGCTGATGATGTTGGTATCCTATTTGAAGTTTGGTGATTGAATCTGACCTAGCTTTGAGACGCGCCGAGTGCTTCCAACCTAGATATGTAGTGTAAGTCCAATGATCAAGGATGGCCTCTTCACTAGTGATCTGTGGGCCTTTGTATGTCACACCCAACTCACCTGTCATTGTTCTGAAGCAATGATAGCAGAAGAGGCGGTGCGAGGAACACCGGTAATGGTGAGGATGTTGAGTTCCATCAAGGAGAAGGGGGTTGGCTTAACGAGCATGGTCTGCGTGGGCGTATTCAATGGCGGCTGTAGTGCGATATACTGCTTTTCAACTTGGTAAGCTGACTAAGACTACATCGTATCAACACAATACGCTTGGGCATCGCATCGCTAGAGATTGAAGAATTGTCGCGGCCGGCAATCATACATCCAAAATGACGTTGGAGGTTTGGGGGAGGTCTGACAGTCGGTTCGTAGTCAGTTAATTGAAATGCGGCATTGGTAATTACATGAGGAACTGTATATTTCTTTCAAGTTCGCGACCGCTCAGGGGTGAGTATGCATGCGAAATATTGCGCCATTCCAGTCGATGATGTTGATGGCGTATTACGCTCTATTTTTCCAACATTTCTTTGCTGAATTGGGGTCACGACTCAACCCCAGCGCTTGCAGGAAACCAGTATGGGCATTTAGACGCCCATTAAATCGAAGAACAGCAGCCTGGCTGTAGCAACTCGACGTCGCCCATGGCGACTAAGAGGTGTCACCCTGTGACCTCTATCACCGTGGTATCTACATCTGGGGAAGTTGTAGCGCAAGGGTTCCGACGTCGAATTCTTGGGAAAATATTGGCGGCGGCGGCCGTAGTAACTTCGGAGGCAGTCCTATGATATGCTCGATCACGCTGATGATAGGAGAGTGAGAGGACATGTCGATATGGGCATAGGATGCGGAGACAGCTACACATTGGGTAGGAGCCCTGGACCAACACGATTGATCGTAAGGAGGTAGTGGGTAACTGGAAGGCAAAATCAATTGTATTAACTAACTGCAATGCGACTGCGCATTCTATAGTTTGTGGTTCAGCGTGTTCGCCAATACTGGATTGCGGAGTCGCTAAGAAATCACGCTATCTCCAAGCCGCCAAGCGTATATGGTCTGAAGCCCTTTATGCACGAGCTCGACGCAAAGCTGGCATTTGCAGGAATGCATCTGGAAAGAATTGGAAGGACAAATGCAGCTGAAAAGAATTGTAGGGACAGATCCATCGTGGAAAGAAAGTTGAGAGGCGAAGGGATTGTGGCGTGATCGCGCACGGGTGGGCCCGCGGCAGCCAATCGGACAACAGCGGAATGCCGCCATGAGCATACGGTGGTATATCTCAGCAATATCCTGGCTCTTCTGGCTAATGCAGATTCACAGTCATAGCCACAATTTGAGGGAGCGTCTCAAGGATGGTTTCTTGGTGATCCACCATGTACCTCTAATCCTCGTTGATGGACTTGACCCAGTTCTTCCTCGCGTCGAGGCAAGGACCGGCGCAGGATAGAGATCTTGAGCTGCGCCATTTTGCAGAAGCAAATGCAGCCTTCCAATGTCATGGGTCTTTCAGTGTATGTGAGTTGAACAATAGTAACAAGATACCAGGAAGGGAGCGCAGGAACGCAACTTTGTAATTACATCATGAGTTAGGAACTCGACTATGTCACGTTGAGCCAACCTGTGATATATGTAGTCCATGTGCAGTAGCTTGGGTAGACAGTAATAACCAATTGTAGGAACGTTGTTGCTTTGCTTTTTCAAGTTTCCTGAGACAGGAGTATGACAGTAGCTAGGGGGTGGGAATATCCGGGATGGGGTTCGGTGACGCATACTGAACAATGAATTTATTACCAACAAAGCAGTGCGCGTCTAGAATGAGCATTTGTACGACCTCTGATAACTTTTGCAAGACCTTGAGACGTAGTATTCTAGATGTAAATCAAGCGGTCAAGGATCTGTGGCTGAGTATGTTGTTCTCATTTCGGAGTCACATCCAGACATTTGTGTCCTTTCCAACGATGTAACCACATATCATAGCGCAGACTTTACAATCAAAACAGAGAATACGGCTCCCAATCTCAAGGCATCTGGCAGCTACTTGCTGCTGTAGCATTTTGTTTTCCCATGTAGCATTCACTGCCCACCTGCTGTTCCTAGCCGGTCAACCCAACGTAAAGATGTTAATAGGAGAGTCAAGCAGGCGGGATCACTTCCAGACGTACTGACCGCTTATACCGTTCTAAGCATACCTACCGTTTTAGCTTTCAGTTGAAACCTGACAAAATAACGAAACCGCAGTGAACGACAGTGAGAACCCTTTGCATGACCTACGTTCTGACTAGACCCTATCAAATGCTCGACATGCATTCCAAGCTCCACCTAAGATCTTTCAGAAGAAATTCTCAAGCCTAATAATAATAAGTTGACTGAGATAGGCGCTCAAAATAGGTCACCGGTCACGCTGCCAGCTCAGATCGATCTGGATATCTGACGTGGGATTGATCAGGTATAAATTAGCTCCTGCACATGATTTCCTACCGCATTTCAAATTCGCATCAATTTATTCCTCTGGAATTCTCTGTGCTGGACAACGTTCGGCCACGCGTTCTGGCTCCTCAACGCATATTGAATACTATACTACAATGGGGAGAAATAGCCCCATATCTCCCGCTGCGCCCCAGTCTCATCATGATTCAAGAGGCCAATAGTCGACATTTGGACGATACATGGCGCCTCCAGATCTTGCACATTCCACTGGAGCGGGAAATTCGCAGGCTTCAATAGAACAATGATCATTCACAGAGATAATCGAGAAAAGCATTTTGCGGCGTCCAGACACAGATACAGACGCTTGTCTTCAAGATAGGATTATTAGTTGGCGCCATATAATAGAGTCTTTCGTAAATGCAGTTCCATCGTTGTCTGTACGCCACATGCCAAATGTATGAACAACTCACCAGAAGAGCAATAGTCCGATGATTGGAATCATTGATTGAACAAGTTTACTTGGCCTGAGGCCGGCTGTACTCCCAAAAGTATAAAAAACAACTGGGGCAATGCATCATGTTCAAAAGGATGTACGTTTGAAATGTTTCAATGGAAATGCCGACTGTTTGGAAACCGAACTCTGAATCAACCGTACCAGCTATCCCGCCACTACTCCGTTTCCGTATCTTGCTCGATCCTCTGTTCAAACGCCGCGTATCCATTGTCCCCGGTCACCTTCTTCCATGCTATACGCACCCCTCCGCTCTTACCCATCTGCTCGCTATGCTTATCCCAATATTCCGCTCGCTCCATATCCAAATCCATCTCCTCAAACGCCCTCTTGACATCTATGTCCTCTTCTTCGTCCTTTGTACTTCCCCCAAAAAGTGTACTCACCTCCTCTGCCATATCCCGCGTCTCCTCAAATTCCTCCAACTCCCCCCTCATCCAGTCATCGCCCTTCTGCATCTCCTTCAACACCCTGGTCGCCGCGCTCAATGCCTCCACCGTCTCTGCGCTTGTCTCTCTTGAGTCGATACTGTGGAGCGCGTCTTGTACTGCTATGATACAGCCATCGATGTGGACGATGCGCTTGCGAAGGAGCATGGCCTTGTGCGCTTGGGCGCGTGTGAGATTGGCTTCGCGGGCCGCTGCGGGCAGGAGAGCATTGATCTCGGTCTGAGCCTGGGAGCGCTGGTGTTCAAGGTTCGCGATCTGCGTTGCGAGGTTATCTTTCTGGATAGCGAGCTCGAGAGGGGTGGGTCTGGAACGAAAGAGCCAGGCAAACATTCTTCGTCGCTCGAATGGAGCGGTGGAGACAGTGATTTGGGTTGTTAAACCGCAGAGGAAGAGGTTCTTTGTTCAATTTGAGACACTTGTGGATGGCACGTCTGGAAGACGACATCAAGGCCGCGCTGCTATATAGTTTGGTGCTTGCCTGTTTCCATGACTATTGCTGTGAAGGCGTAAAACAGCATCATGGATGCATCCAGTATCTTCGCCGAGCTATTCTCGTGTCTTTGCATGTACAATTCTAGGCGTCGACCGGACATGGTGGAAGTGCAAGGCGCATTTCGGGTAATCGACATGGATCGGTACAACATGATGAAACAACGCATCGCGAAACTGACGCGTCTCTCCCAGCACGCGAGCGTGAGGTGACAACAACAACAAAATCTGAGAGCGTTGATGAGCCAAGCTAGAATCAATGAAATGTGCCGTCAAGTGTAGAATTATGTGTGTGAATTCTACGTGCTACTCTAGAACTTCACAATGGGATCTACTCATGTGATGGCCTGTCTCGAACAGTTTGGTACAAGCTAGTACACATCGCTAAAATCTATCGCAATCCTGGGTTATCCGGAAACAATGCTTTCAAAGGTGTTCGGACCTCACGCACAGGGCTTGTTTCCAGTTTCACAGTTGCCCGACAACCCCAGAACGCGAGACTTTGTGGTACCCGGAGTGGGGTTGATGGTTCACAACTCTTTGCCTTGATTCACTCACTCGGAAGCCTCAGGTGGTACATAATTGAACATAACCCAGGCATCACCTTCATCTCACCATCGCCGCCAGTTCAACTGAAGACTTTACGTGATTCACATTCTTCAGACCGCACTCTTATCTAGTCTCTACGAAGACTCTTTATTGTTCGCCTCTCAACCACGCCTCTATGTCCTCTAACATCGACAGCGCAGCGGATCAGGTTGGTATCTCTCCTAACTATGCTATGCCAAAGACACACGCTGTCCTCCTCGACTCCAATGCCATTCTGAAAATTGAGAATGCCCGCCTTAAACGCGAGATCGAAATCGTTCGCACTAACATCAAAAACACCACAAAAGACCATGACGATCATCGACAAATGCACGATGCGGTAGTTGCCCAATTTCAGAACCGACTACAATTGGAGAAAGACGAGGTGAAGATACAGCGACGAGAGCGCGACAAGGTAGAAGAGGACTGTCGCTCTCTTAGGGCTGAAGTACACAAGCTCCAGGTACATCAGATCGATAGCAACATCGCCGCCAAACAAGAGGCCAATCGGTTCAAAGGGCTAGTAGTACATATGGTACAGTCTCTGCAGTATGAGGACGTACTGGAGTATCATGCTAACACAACGTTTCAGCAGCCAGAAGATCAGACTATGGAACCAAAGAAAGAGAAGGAAGAACCGTCTACCTGTGCGAGGTCTCTCTCACCAAGCGAGTTGTCCCGTTCTATGCAGGAATTGAATTTGGCACCAACCAGGAAAGAAAGCATCGCGAAGATGGAGAATGAGGTGGCCAAGATGAAGGAAACCAGACTTCGGGAGATAGAGGACGAGGTCGCAAAACTAAAGGGCGATGCGACAGATGCGATCAATATTGAGAAAGATAATGCAAGACACGACATTCGAATGGTCCAGCAGGAGAAGAAGGACTTCCAGGAGGAGAAGAAGAACTTCCAGCAGGAGAAGAAGGACTTCCAGCAGGAGAAGAAGGACTTCCAGCAGGAGAAAGAAAGAATCCGGAACACCGCGTCATCCACGACTCCCACGACCAACCCATCTCCACCACCCACCGCTATCGTGCCCATCTTTCCCGCCCTTGTCCAATATCTCGACGCTCGAAACGCATCAAGAATCGACCGCTCAACGCCCGCCGGACATCAGCAAAGTTACGACGAGCTATACTCTGAATTTAAACGCTTCACCGAAGATCTCATCGCTTTCATATACTACTTCCATCGCGAAATTGAGGAGCGATTCCCCAAACCGCCGGCTACGGTATATGCACGCTTTGAAATCAAGTTTAATGCAGATGGCGAGCCGTATAATATTCTGCCGAGGGATATTGGGTTTGATATAGCATATTTGGGAGAGTTGTGCGAAAAGTATCGTCAGCAGGTAGAGTGGCAGATCAGGAATGTGGCAGATCCAGAGAAACGGATGAGGGGGTTGGAAGAGATGTATGAGGAGTTTAAGGGGTCAAATGGAACGAACGAGGAGCTTGTAAGTGCGGAGTAGGCTTGTGAACTTGCAGAGTTGAGTGTATTTCTTGGCGTCAAGGTGTTATATTTTATAGTTTGAAAATAAATGAAGTCCAGTCAAGGTCGAGGACGAACTGAAGATGTGCTTGCCATTGAGACCCCAAACTAAGTCCGAAGTAGCTTAGGGCTGTGTGTAAACCTGTGCAACAACGTAGGTGCCAGTGAAAGCGATTGCTCCACCAGGCATTAATTTTCCCAAAACCCCTTGGAGTTTCTACTTGGGTTTCACGCAAAGACTTGTCAAGGTAGTGAGATGAACCACTTGAATGGTAGTGTATCAGCACTAGAGCGTACGCATCAGTAGGCCTCTGACGGCCCCCAACGGTCGCCAGGCATTCCTCTAAGTAAGTTGGATACAATTGCCCCAGTCAAGATAACCTCAAGCCAGACATATTGTACAATGCGGAAGGGGAGTGTGATATCAATCTCTAATGGAAGTGAACAATGGAAACAGACAACAGCGACGGCAGGTTAGAGCGAGAAGACATCCAAATGTTATATCAATCTTGACAAAATCTGGCACAATGCCATGAAGACCACGTGTTAGCTGTCAAACAGCCATGTCAATATATATATGTATGGAGTGGCGGTATGGAAGTCACTCGGAAGAAGTTCCGACGCGTCGGAGTTTCGGGATCGGTATTGATGTTGTGGCTGGCACGTGGCTTGGTTCGGGCCCCATGATGAGGTGTCTTCGAGGCCAACTATACAACATTCTATTGTCTGTGCCAAATCGCTGCAGTATTCATGCGCGCGCTGCATAGCGCTCGCCCGGTTCTTCTTTGCAAATAACGCCCACACCTGCCTTGTACAATAGAACCACCTGCCAGATGCCTTCGTCGCGAAGCGCGTTGGGTTCCACACCGACTCAACTCCCTTACGACATGGCACGAACGGCACCACCAACCCACCAAAGCGAGCGCATTATGCACATCAGCTCCACCCGCCAATCTAGCCTCCCCTTGCCTATGCGCTCTATGGGCCTGTCACATCAGCGCAAGGGCTTAGTCGTGGGATGAACGGCTGAGAATGGCTTGGCTCGGACAGCAACGACCGCGGAATACAATGTGACTTGCTTCTTGAGCGGAGAAAAGAAGTATACCAGTAGCACACAGGAAGCCGCCGGCGCTCCACATGGGCGCTCCACATGGGCGGTGCACGTGTGGTCACGGTGAGGCATCACGTCGAACACGGGCTTGGACAAGTGCTGCCGGGCCTCTCCCCATCTTCGCTGCCATTGCGAAAGAACTTTGCGTGCGACATCGCCCGGAAACTGGCTCCACGACGTCCAGCCTTGCTATCCAGTGTTGCGCATCTACTAGCCCCGTGCGACTCCCCACCCTTTCGGTCGGGAACTCGCCTCAGCCTATAGTACCATGTCTCGGGAAATCACGACCGAGCACCGGGCTCACACACTTTCCCTGCATTGCGCCCATCCGCGGCATAACCTTCTCCCACGGATGTTTGCTCTCCACAACATGCAGTGCACCGACCGGTCTTCAAACACGAGCGACAAAGAGGCTTGGAACACACATGGGCCAGGCGGTCAGATGGCGCTGCGTGCTTGAATCAACATGGGACGGACGCTTTATACACTTGCCGAGCGGTTGGCATCTGTATCGCGGAGTCCACCCCTCTGGCCTAATCCTCTTCTGAGATGGATTCATAACGGGTGACTGTATCACAAAAGTCCGACCGAATCACCAGTCCTGACGACGCATCTAACGATCGCCGATGAGCCATCTCACTCAAAAAAATAGGAAGATAGTACTAGCCGCGTTGCCGGGCTCAGAAACATGCAAACAATTGTGCAACGCGCAGCGGTTGGTAAAGGCTGCCGGTATCCACCTGGGAGTGCCTAAAGCGCAGCGCCACATCTGCACACACTGAAGAACTTCTCCAACCACACTCCTCAAGCGACACATCTATTATAACGGAAAAGTGGCTTCATTATAGAAGAGTTTGCTGCAGTCTAAGACAGTATGACGATTCTTTAAGACAAACTTGCCAATGCAAGCCTGCGGCATATCGATTTCCCGATCAGTACAGCCACCACCGGTGAAATGCAGAACTTTAGCAGCCTCGTAACAATAGCTCCTCTCCAGCTTGAGACACGGCTATATGCTGTTGGTACAATCGTATCTTGCATAAGTCCCATCGCCTTGTAGGAAACAAACCTCACGGCTTCAAGTACCGCTCATATTTCTTTGCTCAATCCCCCTCATTACTCTATCTTCTCAATCTCTCTGCTTCATTCGTCCGGATACCAATTCTGAATATCGTTCACTCACAATCCATCATGAACTCCCTCTCGGCGTTTCGTCTCAAGCTTCTCGAATTTGTCAGTAAGCATCCTCCAGTTGCTAGCGAGAAGCCCGTGATTACCTCGTCTGCAACCACAATCCTGGAGACAGTCACCAAGTTCACCACCAAGCGCTCAACCGTGGATATCTTCACTACTTCAACGTCAACAATTACGCAGCCGATGACCGTCACCTCGACTGCTACTGTGATGACGACTGCCACCACGACTAGTACTAAGTCCGTCCCTCTTGCAGTTGCAAGTTTTAACATGGACATGGGCATGCTACGCACGAGTCTTACCACCCTGCTCTGCATCCTATTTGTCGGCCTTCCGGTCGTCGTGCTCGGTCACTGCATCTACACTTCGTTCCGAAACGTAGCTACTCCCCACTCGTAAGTGCGCCCATACGTCTATTGAGTTCACAACTTCTCCGCCACAACACTGACATCGAATGTGCAGCGGATCTGTTCCAGCAACCAACTCCCTCCGCCAGCTAAATTTCGCTATGGCCCTGTTCATCCCCTGCGGCCTACTCATCCTGCACCCCTCGCTGACTGTCAGTCTCACCGCTATCACTGCCTGCACCATCCTCATCATCTTCCTCGGTACTCTTTACGGCATCACCGAGCTCGCCTTGCACTTGTGGACAATGCTGAAGTCCAACTGTCAAGACTGGTTCAACGCCGAGGGATGGTCCTATCAGCCTGGATGGAGCAGGGCTACAGCACCTATTCCCCCGCCGTTGCCTTCCACCACCAACGAGGTACTGGCCCTGGAACACATGACAACTAGCCAGAAGATGGAACGGCAGACACAGCTCTTCACACAACTGAATGAGGTGATTAGAAGCCATACGCCCGAGGAGCGAAAGCAAATGAAGGCGCGCCTGATGAGAGAGTGGTGTCTCATCGGCGAAGACGGCGATGGTGGTCATGTTCAGCCGTCTTGGGATACGCTGACCATTCGCGGTACCCATGACAATCGGGATGATGGCTGGCCCTGGCAAGTTGACCACGCACTTGCCGCCACTCACGCATTCGATTATGGGTATATGCATGTTCCTGAAGGTTCTGGCCATGCTTGGCCCCGTCCCGGATGATGGCCGCCATTCGACGGCTTGGCAAGTCGACTCAATCTACATCCCTGATGACGTTGAAGTGCCTCTTTACGACTCTCTCTTGGTGTGGAGTTGAGCGCCCACGTGTCGACACTCACTACGCTTCCCTGTTTTGGAGTCGAATTTGTCGTGGTTGGTTGGGTGTTGCAACCATATCAAGATGTCTCCTTTTCATTACCACTTTCATTGATCTTGGCTTTGTGGTATGGAGTCATTGGATTTTCTCTATAGAATTTGTGTATCCTGTCATTCTTATTTATCTTGGCTGGGTACTGACGGTTGTACATGTCATTGGGGCCTTCCTCAACCTCCCAGGGGTATGAGTTTCGGGGGTGTTGATCTTACCAACAGTCATTCATTGAAATACAATACGAACCGTCGTTCTATATTGTCATGGTGCATCATTTTGCAACTCAATTGACCGGCATTTTTTAACATCTAAGTAGTAATTTTGGTCCCTCTTCTTGTTCCTGTTTTGGTCATCCCTGCTCTTGATGAACATCCACTTCCCAGGTCAACTGCGCAGCCGTTGATAAGTACCTGAATACATCGTTGGGTTCAATTATCATACTGGATAACCGTTGCTGTCACGCGTCACATGTTCAATACATTCCGTGCTTGTGTGGGCTTTAATTCTTGAAAGTTTTGACATATGCAGCATGCGTAAATCGCAGCAAGTATTGAGTCGAATACGAACAGGGAATACTATTCTGAGATGCTCTAAAAGTTTGCCGTAAAACAACCAAGAGTCGCCATGTACAAACACCCGAATGCCACATCCAGATCAACAGCGGCTTATTCTGCAACACTAGTACGCCACAGTCTAAGACATGTAAAGCATTATGCGTCACCCTCCTCATTCATCAAACCCTACCACCCCCCTGCTCATTGCATCCATCCCTTCACGAGAATCCGAAGACGATTCCCCAACCAACCACCATGGACCTCCCCATCCTAACCTTCGACTTCAAAGCAGATGACTTCATCGAAATCCAACCCGATCAAGCCGGGATCCCTGAGGCAGGTCTAATCCATCGATACCAATCGCTCGCTCGTGCTGCAGTGAAGGCGCAGAAGAAGTCGTTGCGGGCTTTCCGGAAGATGAAGACTGAGGAGGAGGAACTGCGGAGACGGCTTGAGACTGCGGAGATGAGAGTTGAGGCTTTTGAGAGGTCTGAGTTTGATGGTGACGAATGTCGAGAACGGCTTGGTGGTGTAGAGAGGAATACGCTTGAGCCTGACACGGCTAACCCGGAGCAGCTGCGACAGGAAGGACATAGACTGGCTGAGACGAGCAGTGTTGGAGAAGATTCTGGTACCAAGATGCAAGAAGTCGATGTTGTGAAGGCTGCTTTTCTTCCACACAACGCGCATGGCAGTACCGCCTTCCCAGCCAACACAGATGACACTACCCCAGACAAAACGTTGGTTCTAGACCTTACCAAAGAGAACGAAGCCCACGTTCTGACAATCCGCGAGCAAGCAGCGAAAATCCAAGAGCAAGCCGAAACCATCCTCGCTCGCGACTCAACGATACACAGCATTAGCTCAACCAGCAAAAAATTGGAAACCGACGTAGAGAAATGGTTGAACATATACCTCGCACGGGATGAGAAATACAAGCAACTCCAGCAAACCCTCGACGTCGTTCTAGACTCACGCAACAAGCTGATCGAGCGGCTCCTCGACTCCAACGGTGGGGTATGCATCTACATCTGCCCGCGCGACATGGCGCCTGAGCCCTCACACCACGACTTCAGCAACCGCCACGCCGTACAGCTATACGACGAGCACAAAGAGATGAAACAAACCTTATCAGGACTAGACCACGTGTTCCAGCCACACGAGACGAATGCGGAGAAATGGGAGAAGACGCTGCCTTTTGCCGAAGCGGCGTTTGCAGATAACCCCGGCCCGCAGATTATTCTTGCATATGGTTCAACAGGGTCGGGTAAGACGCATCTCATGTCTTCGCAGAAAGACACGTCGATTCTGCCGAGTCTTCTGCGGTACTTGTTCGACGGGAAGGAGGCGCGCGAGACGGGGATGATAATCGAGTTTCAGGCTAGCGCCGTGCACGCATACCGCGGGAAGATGTACGATCTTCAGCGTGACGACGGTAGCGAGATGGTGTTCCGCAGAGCAACAACGGGGACGAAATGCATGGAGCCCGTCACTCCGGCAATCCGCACGGCAATCCCCGTTCCCGAATCAGGCATGGGGACCTTCCGTAGGGTGACCTCCCGGCGCGACAAGCTCAACAGCAGCAACGCCGTAAACTCAAACTCGAGCCGCTCGCACTTTATCTTCACCATCCACGTGCGTATCGCCCGGCGTGACGGACCAGCGCTGCCCCCGCGCGAAATCTACATCATCGACCTGGCTGGGTCGGAGGCACCAACGGGCAAACCTGGATCGGCCATATTCGAAGAAGGCACCTCGATCAACGCGTCGCTGGGTAACTTCAAAGCCTTGCTAACAGCCGTGATTGCGCAGAACCGCGCACTGCAGCACGACCCTAGTGCACAAAAGAAGGACGTCGAGAAGACGTGTATGAATCTTCTCAATGACAAGTCGAATCCGCTGTTGCTGTACATGTTGAAGCCCTTGCTGGATCAGCGGCGCAGGATCCTGTTCTTCGCTTGCGTGTATGGGTCGGGTCGGTATGTGGAGAATGCGAGGACGATGAGACAGGTTGGGGAGTTGGTGGGGAAGATGCCGGTGAAGGGGAAGGGTGGTGGTGATCGGAAGATAATGATGGGTTGAACAGTCGAGTTGTGTTGGTGGAACTGTTCAATGGGGAATGTGATGAGGCGAGGCTTCTTGTGTGATGGAGGCATCTCTGTCGTGGCTGGATGCAAGTAGTCTGTGATGAGTAAGTAGTTGTGAAGTGGTGTCCTTACCTTGCGATTTTGTCCTGACCTTTTTAACTTTCGGACATGGTAATACTGCCACACGACGAACAGTGTGCTGATTGAGAAATTAGATGCAAGTGACAAAGTAAAGACTCATGTATTGTTCTACAGGATTGGGGGTATATAGTTATCAAGCGGATGAAAACTGTCAACACGTCTTGCCCGTGTGAGACGCAAGAACGTTGGAGACAGAAGAAGAAAATCTCAACCGCTCAGAGAGAAAGATCAAGGTCGACTCACGAAGCAACGAGGGAGAGCACGACCCGCTCTCCTCGCAAGTTCCACCTTCAACGGGGAGCATGCGATGCGACGTCAAGTTTTGAAAAAGCGAGAACCATGGCAGTACAAATCGTCAAATCGTGATCGTGAATTGTAAATCGTGTCAGCCACCGGAAATCCAGCCGGACTGCCATTCAGCGCGGAGATGAGTCTGAGCGATCGGCACGGCGGAGGCGAGAGTTGGTTCTGGGCACCTTGAGAGGTCGGTGATTGTCACCCTCAACGACATAGAGGGCCGTGTGGGTGATCATGTCGTGCAGCTTATTGGTCAGAAGTTCCAACTCCTGCAGAGCTTCCTTCTCCAGCTGCACCACGCGAGCCTTGGCCTGCTCCTGCTTTGTCGACGACTCGGTCGATGCGTGTCGCGCGTCGGCAATGGTGGCGAGGTCTTGGGTGAGTCGCATTTCTTCCTCGGCCAGGCGTGTTTCGCCTTTCTCCAAGGCATCAATCAACAGATTGTGCTTGTGCTCAGCAGCTTCTCTCAACTCGACTTCATCTGCAGCTATGGCATTGAGATTCGACTGGAGCATGGCTGCTCCAGACGCGATGGTGTGGAGGTAATTGGCTCTATTTGCGCGGACGTCAGCAAGCTTGGCTTGCATCTCGTCTACATGGGTGTGGGTGTCGTCGTGTTTCTTGGAAGCCTCATCCGCAGCGAGTCGGGCTTCATGGAGCTTCAGCAGTTCAGGCCAGAAGTTGTTGAGCCGACTCTCGACGTTGTGCGTGAAGATAGCCATTTCGGTCGTGGCGGACGTGTCTATGGTGCGCTTGGCGCTGGGAGAGGCGGCCATGTCGTACTGGAGGTCGGGGAAGGGGTCTATGTGGGGCAGGTGCTCGTCCTTGATGGACTGCTGGGAAGTGTCTTCACGGACGTCCAGGTCAAGCTCTGTATCACCCAGCAAGTCGCGGTCTTCAGAATCGGCGATGTCGTTCCAGTTGGTTAGTGATGGCGATGAGGGTGTGTCGAAGGGAGCTCCACCACGAGGTGTCGCCGGTGGAGTGTATTGAGCGTCTGTCTCGGGCAGCGGTGTGTGGTGATTGTGTCGCGGGCGTTCAACGTCGGCGACAGACGAGCGAGGCGGTGGTGTGGCGCGGTGATTGCGACGACGGAGGGCGCAGTGGGGGAGGGGGTTAGCGTGGAAGCGGTCGAGATAGGCCGTGAGCTCGGCGGCGTTCACCTCGTACTCGCCGCGGTCGACGAGCTTCTGCTTGGCGACCTTGTACTTGCACGTCGAGAGCCACTCAGCGAAGAAGTCGGGCCAGCGGCTGCAGAAGGCGCGACGCGAGGCCTTGTTGACGGCAATGCGCGCGAGCTGCAGGACACACTGATTGCTTGGCGCCGTGGGCAGCGAACAGCCAGACGCGAGGACCGAGCGCCAGAAATGCGGCCACCAAGCGTCGACGATGCGGGCGATGGGCCGCCACTTGTGTGTGAACTCGGGCCAGAGGGCCGTGATGGGCGCTGCGTGGCGCTCGACAAAGTGCTCGACGCTGACGCCGATGTGGCCGTGGACGCCGTATCAGAGCGAGTAGTGCCAGTAGGCAGCCAAGTTGGCGCGCTCGGTCGCCGAGAGTTGGGCGTGTGGGAGGACCGAGAGGCGGGCAGCGTCGTCGTGCAGGCTGTCGAAGGCGGCGATGGCGGCCGTCGCGTCGGCACCGCCGAAGACAGTGAGGGCTTGTTGCAGGTCGTGGGCGAGCGACTGAGGAGCAGAGGCGGGCGCTTCGTCAGCCATGCATAGAGGACGGGGAGTTCAAGGGCGGGGAAGCAGCGGCGACAATGGCCGCGCTGAATGCGACTTGGAGGGGCAACGGTGGTGCCAAGTCGAGGTGAAGGTCGCGTCGCGTTACATCAGAGGCATGCAGCTCGGGAAACCACGCTAAACGTTTCTAGAGATTGGTCATCGTCCACCACCTTCTGATCGCAGAACTTGTCCTTCCTACTACAGTCTCCATGATCTGTACCATCATTCCTTCTCTCTTGCTCAACCTTGTCTATCAAACACCTTTAGACAGCGCCGTCATAGCCCGGCTGTCAGAGCGACGCGGTCGGGGGCTGCAGTTGCCGATGTTTGGCACGCCCACGACCACGATCACGATCACGCCCGCGCCTCCGCTGATTGCGCGCCTCCACCAGTTCGCTTAAACTATGTCCAAGATCGTGCAACTACGAAAAACAGGTCGAGATCCAGCACGAATTCCGGCATACCAGCAGAAAGACCTCTACTCAGTCCTAGCTCTCTCGTGCTGGTGAGCAGAAGAGCGGACAGCATTTGTAAAAGCAGTCGCGGATGTTGTTTTTTGAGACGGGAACGTAGGAAAGGGCAGCCGCAAACACCGGCTTGGTAGCTTGTCGATCTTGTGATTAAACGGGCCGAGTACTGGTGTTCCCACGCGTTGCACTTGAAAAAGTGGTTGTTGTGGAGCCCGTTACCAAAGACATCGATCGTGTCGCTATCACGATGGGATGGAGAGTCTCGTTGAACTACGTGGAAGTATTGTCGTTTTGCTGCAACTCGACCTGGAAGCCTCGTTTTGCTGCGCTTCGACGTGAGACGTCTCGTTTTGCTGCGCTTCGTCTCAAGGCGTCCCATTCTGGGGGGTCTCGTTCCGGGGCGTCCCATTCTACAGGGCGGTCCCATTCTGGGAGGTCTCGTTCTGGGAGGTCTTGTCTTGGGACTGTTCTTCTTGTGGTGTTTCAGATCTTCGAATCACTGTCACGTCGCTGTCTCGGCGTGATGTTTTCGCTTCGGCAAGAATATACCACTGCTTAGTCGATTTTATTGAGAGGCTCTTGCCCTCTAGTGTCAATATCCATGAGTCCGTGTTGTTTTCGGTGTCGACCCTCCGGATTGGCGCGGAGGAAGGTAGCAACGAATCGAAGAAACACTCAAATTCGCTTTTCTTACGCTCGAACGGCTCGAATGTTAGATTCTCGCTCACGGGCGAGTTACCGAGATCCACCAGCTCCCACTCGGGCACTACCGGCATGTAAGACCACTTTGGTTCGTTAATCGAGGCATCATTGATGGAGACGAAGTGGCCGGAGTGATTTCGACGCTGCTTGGCCTCCTTGTCAATATGAAATTCGCGTACGAATTGACCTTCTGAGATGTGTCTCAGGACCCATTTATAATGCGGTCTCGACAGAAGCAAAATTTCTAGTTCGATCTCAACCTTAGGCATTTGTCTTAGCCTGTCATCCTGAGCTCTATCGTCTATGATCTCTGTGATATTGTATCCCAGAACGTCCACAGGATTCCACCCTGTTGCTGTTTGAACGGCACGGCGGTGCTTAATTAACTCTTGCCTCTCCCTGTCTGATAAAGAAGAAGAAGAGTCCGCGCTGCGAATTCCCCAATGTTGAGCAACGTGGTATAAATCTGGGACCCAGTGGGTGAAATCCGTATCCCTGGTCAATATGCACAAGATCCTTGGTATGTTGACCTGCTGTGCGGAAGCTTTCTCGGTTGTGTTTGAGACGGTTTCCCCAGAATTGAAAATGGGATTGGCGATGCAACCTGCTTCGACAATGCTGCGAGAAAGCTCCACAAGTGCTGCTTTGGAGAGATCTTTACACGCTTCGCTCCTCTCAATGGCGAGGCGGAACTTCTCTGCATTGAGGAAATTCCCGCAGAATTCTAGAAGTCTCGTCATCGAACGCCACTCATATTTGCAGTGATCTGGATGTAGAATATTCAAAAAGTCCAAGAGCGTTGGCAGCCTGTCCTTTGGCCCAACGACTTCCTTCATAATGCTTATGAAGAGTTCCCCGACTCCTAGGGATTCGGCTACATTCAGACAGTGCACAACCCGTAAGGCCATTGCTCTGGCACGCGGCCCATCGAGGCTTTTTGTTTCGTCGAGAGATGTTGTAAGAAGATCTTTGAGTGTAATGGGCTGGCCTGTGTGATTGTTGCATCTTTGTCTGAGCATGAACAGTGGTAGATCCTTGTTGAGATAGGTTTTCTTGGTATCGCTCTTCAAGAGATCCCCAAGGATTTCCTTCAGTTTCCCGGAACTATGCTCTCCCCTTGCCTTGAGGAACTGGAAGAGCTTGTCGAGGTAACGCCAGGTTTCGCGGTTTCCTGGTAGTTTTGTTCCAGGTTCGATTTCTTCACAGTACTCCCCTATCCACTTCCCTACATCATAGATGTGGGCAGCAAATTCTTCCCTTCTCTTCTGCCTTTGCATACTCTTGCGTTTTTCCACGTCGTCGAGCTGCTGCAGTGCGCTCTCTCCAACCATGGTAATGCCATTGAACATATCAAGAATAGCTCTCATCTCATTGTCTACCTCATCTTTTGCTTTGTATATGATCCCATGTTCGACTTGAGACCACGCGTTCATGACAAGTGTTCTCACCTGGATCTCAATGATGAAATCAACTTCTTTCTCTCCCTCCTTTGGGTGAGGCCTGACGTGAAAATGGGTCGCTTGATATCCTGGGAAATTGGCATTGTTGGTCTCAGGGTTGTTGGGAGCCTTGCGTTTTTTCAGTCCAGCGAGGAAGATTTTCATGTCGAACAGGTCCCTTGTAATGCCTTGAGCCCTCCGGTATTTTCCCACTAGTTTAATGTCAGGGTGATCTTGAAGGCATTTTTCGACCTTGTCAACATCGCCCGGGAAATAAAGAAGGATCCGGATACCGCCAATGTCGGGAAGACTTCCATACATTGCGTCGATGTTCTTGAATTTGCCGTAGTCGTCGAGTCTTGGACTATTGCCCCAGTAGTCCTCCCAGCTGTAGTTATTTGCTTCCATGTCGTCTCTAATTCTTTCCATTTCGAGTCTGTGAAGGTTTCTTTTCCTGACGGATTGGACAGCTGATTCCTTCGTCTTCATCCTGTAAATGGGACGATCGTGGAGCCGGACAAACTCTTTCTTAAGCGCAGCTGGCAAGAGATTTTCATTGAAGTGTATTGTGCTTTTCTCTATCAGCGCACACCTTCGATCGTATTCGGACTCAAAGCCCGCGATAAGGTTTAACATCTCTGGATCTCCAGAACCTTCTTGGTCCGCCATTTTTCGAGAGATGATTCCAGTAGTACAGTGGGAGGTTAAATGATAAGCTATTGTCCCAAAAGACTGTTGTCCGAAATCAAGGCAGGATTCGAGTACAGGCTGTAGGGCCTTAAATAATGAGTACTGGATGATCTTCAAGCAGTGGAATTGTTACAAATGTTGTCAACGATGGGATTGAAAGCTTAAGATTTTTAGATTAACATTTTGTTCTGCCTGCTTATCTACTTTGGCTAAAAGAGCCCCATCTCTGCCTAAGAGGCTGTGCTGCATTCTCCCTCGCCGGAAAAGGCAAATGCAGCCAAATCGATCCTAGTGGACCGATCAAGAACGCCATCGCGGTGGGGCGAAGCGTAGGGCGTTTCTTTCTCTCCTAACAGTTTATGACTGAATAACACCAGCGCGGCGCATATAGTTGAAGAAGACAATTTTAAAGCAACAGCTGCTAAGATTGGGGTTTCGTTCAACATTACAGCCATCGTGGGGATGAATCCAGAATGATAGATTGGAGTTGTCCAGACCCACGGAAGACATCATCTGGGAAGTCTACCCTGTTTTAGACGCATTGGGATAAGACAATAAACGCCTACAGTGATTCTAACAAATCATGGTGCGTCGAGGTCCGCCATGACATCGATGTGTGGATGGTGGTCAGCACGCAAGGCTCCGCGGACCACCACAATTTATACGGCATAGCCCTATTGGCGAACTAAGGATCTCGTTATCAGTAACCTTCCCATACAAATCTGCCTTGGTTAAAAATAAGCGCCGAAATACGAAAGAGGCTGGAGTATACGGATGGGCCATGTTATTACGGATTTCTGCCCTGGTGCTCTCGACCTCTTTGGCGCTATACTGCCATTTCCCGCCCCCAGCACCTATTCCATGATAGCTTTGACACGATTACATTCCACCTGACATGACCATCCGGCACTAGCAATCACTAGCATATGTTGAAGTCTTCAGAAATGAACAGCCGGTGTGCGCAGATTGTTACGGACGGCACTTTCTCTTGTCTCGAGTTCCGCAATGGCAAATTTGAGGTTTCCGGTGCGACGAACATGGAGCAGCTTTTCAGTCGAATTGAGGCTGTAAAATCGGGTTCTGCAGCAAACGTCTCAGGTCTCTGCATGCTGTTCGAAGATATCAGTCTCGAAGTAGCTGGACAACTCGACCTCCTGCTCAACATTGGACAAGAATTCTTCCACAGACACTTAGCAGCACCTAAGTTTCCACGGCTCAATTCAAGGCTTAAGAGAAACAATACATTATCGTTGCCATCGAAAAACCAGTCGCCAAATTGTGTTCATTTAAGCTACAAAAGGCTTCTCGAAGCGGCACCGCAGTCACCGCCAATCCATTACGAGCTTCGTATGGAAGGACGTGCAGAGAGAAGTGTTCGTCACATGCCGCATATGAAAGACTGTTGTGTCTCGATAGCCGACGCGTGCTTCTCTATACTGAAGAAGGAGATTGGGGAAGGAGTCTGGATAAGTAAGCTGCACTTACCTTTCCAATCGCCTTGAAGCCTGCAGGTGTTGATGATACGACAGGTGTGATGCTTATGGATCCAACATCAAAATCGGCGGTCTATGACCCTACAAGGCCTTGGGTGAAGACGACGCAAAGGCCATGGCGAGACACATCCTCTGAATCACGTGTCTCGGTACCACATTATTCTGCTCCATCTTTTCACCAATCCCAACGTCACTCTACGACACCTAGCTTTCTGGAAGAAACCGCCCAAGCCTTGCTCGTTTACGAGAGAGGTCCTTCACTGGTGTCTGATGTCAGCATCTATGAACTAACACGTCATCCAGTTCAGATCATGACTGGCGAGTGGATACTTTACTCGTCCTTGATGGGTCAATTCGCCAAGCACTACGAGATCTCTTTCGAGACTCTGAAGAGTTTAAGTACCACTGAGACTAGCAACATCATGCTGGAACTGCATAGCTGGCGGCGACGAGGTCAGCGCAGTCTCGAAAAGCTGACGGCTTTGAAGTCATTCGTCGCTCAGCAAGTACCGCAAGACACGCTGGCCAGAGCCGTCTCCAACGACATCAACTATATCTCTCAACAGATCGTTGATCACCGCCAGTCTCTGGAGTACATGGTCCCTATGCTTATATCGATGGTTCAGCTCATGGACTCCCGTCGAGCGATGGAGGAGACGATATACGTCAAGCGACTGACCTATGTTGCTCTCATTTTCTTACCTCTGTCTTTTGTGGCGAGTCTGTTCAGCATGAACGAAGACTTTGCGGTCAACTCAAGTGGTTTCAAGGTATACCTGGCGACTGCATTGCCACTGCTTCCGCTCGTGTTGCTAGGGATTAATGTTCCCCAGAGCAGACTCTGGTATTGGTGCAAAAGTCATCGCACTGCCCCGAAGACTTGATTTCATTGTGTCTTCTTACTATTTGTAAATGCACATGTCTTAATATTTGCACAAGCTCGACATTGCTTTTCTATATTACTATAGGATCTTGAAGATATATTACTTAGTCTAGCTGCCAGATGTCGTAATTCTGTAAGCAGTTATTAGTTGTATTTCTAATGCTATATTTAGGCAGCATAACTACTAATAATAGCAGACAATAAGTGTCTTACAGTGGCGGCTAGGATGTTATGCAGATTAGATTTCCTGTGCTACATAGGTTTTAGCCCACTATTAGATGCGAGCAGGACAGCGCCTACTATATCTAAGGACTTGTAGTGCTGCGGAGCATACTGCTTATTTTCTCTAGGCCTTTTACTACTCTAATTAGTAATAAGTTATAGAATTTAATTTAGAGCAGAGGTCGTGCATTCTGGCAGTTTCTCTAGGCAATCAGAAGGATTGTTAAAACTCCTAACAGGGCATAGAGCTCTAAGTTAGCTGCTCTTGGTATATAGTCGCCTGCTTAGATATCTGTGCCTCTGAAGAAGTTCTACAAGCAGAGGACGAATGGGACTTTCGCGAACACACCCTTTTACCTAACAATATATAGGGTGTAGTTCCTGCATTAGCATTTCCTGTCGAATCTTGTAATTTTGATACGCTGCTCCTCAGAAGCATCCTATGTCAGTCTCAACCCTGTTCTACATCGAGTAACAGGTGCTCAATTGTCTATCATCTTCTTGACAACTCTGACCATGAATTTCGTTGCGCGTTACCTTCGGGCACTCGTATGTCTCCCCCAACAGAGTTGCGCATGTCCAGACCCATAGCTGCTATGCACATCAGCCCCGCGGAGCAACCAAGTATAACAAGCCACAACGCCCAATTTTCAACGTGTGTGAGACGAGTAACAAGGTCACATGCAATCTCGCGAAGACAATCAGGCCGAAGGAGAAGAGAGCGAGCGGCGAATCGTACGTCGCGGGCGTAGCAAGACGGTTGTTCGCGACGGCATATCTGCAAGCGAGTCCGGCAACTAGCGTGGAGGCGAGCGTGGACGTGAGTGCGGCGCAATAGGTCGGTTCGGAGAAGTGTGTTTGTGGCCGCTCCTTACGAGATGCTCGCGGAAGGATGGGTGGGTAGTGGCGAAGCCCAAGTCTGTAGGCGACTCATTGAGCGCGGATACAACCTTGGTTTGCGTGTGGGCGGCGCACATGGTTGCGCTCAGTGCGGAGTAGCGTGATGGGGAATGCGCGGGGAGCGGGGAGTTCGCAATGGACGCTAGCTGGGGTGGCTGCAACCCATGGTACGTGCGTTGCTTCGATCAGAGTCGGAGCTTTCAACTCCTGCCGACCCGATGGGGCGCGTGTATGCTGTCAATCATCTTCATCATTATCGCTCATGCACACTGGGACCCATCCACGCCGAAACTCATCTCTTAGGCTTATCGCCACCGAAATTGATCCACGATAGAGCTGCCTAGGATGCTCACCGCTGGCCTACAATGATGTTCTCGTCGCATCGCAGCAACCACACCTGCGTTTGCGATCAACACCGGCACACTGCGCCATTGATAGTTTGGTTCCAGAAAAAGCTTTAGCCAAGGTGGATCTGATATTCAGCAAGTCGAGGCAGAGACGCGCAGTATGCAGGCCGGCTATCCTGTAGCCAAAACCTGCTGCAACGTTACGCCAAGCATTGCTTCACCAAGCTTGACCGCGACGCATTGACGAAGCTTCTACATTCCACCATGGGCGGCGCACAAGAAGGGAGATGTGGGTGAGAACAATCGCTCAACTAGCACATTCCATCCCGCTTGACATCAGGATTGATATGTTTACAGCTTAGCGTGCAGTAGGTTCGACCTATCTTTATTATCCACAGGCAGTTGATAACAATCTGTTACAGTCTAAGTCACATTTCTTGTTAAACGAACCAAACCATGCCTCCCTTTCTACGTAAGAGCTGGGGCAGCTCGCTCGTGTTCGTATAACTCGCTCATCTGTCACCGTCCTTTACGTAGTCCAAGGCAACTTGTGACACGACATATAGGCTGTGGGAGAGGGATTAATCAATATAGATATTAAGGTAAAAAAGACGGTTAACAAACTCAGCACGGCGTTAACAACGCTTAGCAACTAACACACAGTCCTAGATATCTGTTAGCGGTAGAAAATAGAAGTTAAAGACGTTGTAGGAGAAATCCTACTCTAGCTGTAGAAACGCCTTTGTTACTAACTAGTAAGCTTAGCTTTACTGTATTTATTTATATAATTAATCTTCTTAGTATTATCTGCCTTATAGAAGTAATTTGCCTACTCTAGAGTACTACTATTGCTTCCTTAAGATTGCTAGTAGTTATAGGCAGGAAGATATTATTATACGTATATAGGGCAATTAGCTTGTCTATACTATAATCTGCTATGCTATAGAGAAGGTACCTAACTAAAAGTATATATTCCTTACATTAATTAAGAGAGACTAGGCCTTAGACGCTATTATTACTAGTCTAATACTGCCTGTTTTAATACTATAGACTAGTTAAGAAAGAAACTTATTATTTATATATAAGGTATCTTAAACTATTCTAGAAGTATTATACCCTAAAACTACTATTATTATAGAGCGTATACTTAGCTAAGATATATATCTATTAGATATACCTAAATAGAGCAGCGGGATATTAACACCGTTATTACTAGCTAAATATTAGCTATAATTACGCTGTAAACTAACTAAGGAGAACTTTTACTACTCTTACTAATAGTATACCTAGGTAATCCTAAATAACTATCTTCTAAAACTACCTACTATTATTATAGTATAGTATAAACTAGCTTTACTAGACGTATTATTAACTATAATATTACTTACTAGAAATATATTAGCTTAGCCCTTACTAAGTCTAGGTTAACTAATATTTTCCTATCTTTATAACTAGTTACTAGTAACTAGTAACTAAAACTCGCAAAGCTATATAACTATAATAAGTAATTATATCCTATTAATTCTCTATAGTAAGAGGAATATATATAGGTAGAGTAAATATTTAGTATTAGTATAGAGATCTATATTAATATTATTAACTGCGCTAAGCTAAGCTGTATCTAATATATATACTAGGCTTTATATAGACTTTAAAGATCTAGAGTTTTACCTTAGATTATATAAACACTTTAATTAGATCTAGGTACCTAAGGTAAAGAAAACGCTTATTAGAGTCTTACTATTTACTAACCTACTAAAAAGCCTTAGAAAAGTCTACGCTACTTAGCTATTAATATAAGCTCTTAAGAATACTACTTAACTGTGCTAAACTATACCTAATAGCTAGAAAAATATATATCTTACTTATTAGTAAAAAAACTAGAAGCTACTACTTAACTAAGCTAAGCTATACTAGTTATACGTTCTTAATATAATATAACTCTATAATATAACTAATAGAAGGCTATTATAAATCCTCTTAAGTATTTTGTCTATATTTATAATAATTAGAAAAATATACATAACTAATAAATATTCTAGATATAGTATAAGTCTAAACTACCTATAAGATAATCTAGAATTATATAGTTACGCTAATCCGTCCTACTAGAAATTATTAGCAGGATATTACTATCTTAGGCTATCTATTACTCTTCCTTAGTAGGAAATAAATATTAGAGTAGATTCTATATCTTACTTATTAATACTAATATAGGTACTTTAGGAGGTAATAGTTATATTTCTACTAGTAGTTATACTTAAAGCTTTCTAGTAGAAAAGAATAGTATTAGTCTAGGAAGCTTTATTACCTTTACTTAGTAGACTATATATCTCTAGTAGTACCTCTATAAAGGTAAGCTAATAGTACTTATCTTTAACCTAAATAAAATCTATAGCAGAATTTCTATATTATTATATAGTATTATATAGAAGAGTATATTAGGTACTAGAGACTAGCTTATTAAAGACTAGTATAATACGCTATATAAAGAGTTAAGCCTATATATAATTATTATTAATAAGAACCTTAGTTAGAGTTTCTCTAGTACCTAAAAATTTAATAACTCTAAGAGTAAAAAGTAAAAGATACTAGACTACGTACTTAAGTATTATAATCTATATAATAATAAGATTAGGTACTACTAGAATAGGCTTTATATAGGTATAAAACTTTATAGAAGTAATACTATAATATACCTTTATATACTATAGTATATAGAAACCTCTACTTAGCTAGTAGGTATTTTTAAGTATATTTAATAATTATTATTATAGCGTATAATAAAATAGAAATAACTAATAATATTACTCTTATCTAAATAAGTAGATTATATACTATACTACTATTAGACCTTAGTAAAGTAAATACTACTTTACTTCTAAAAAGGTAATATACTACTAAGTATTAATTAATCTACTATTATAGGCTGCTTAATTTAAGTTCTATAGAGGTATATAGTTAGTATCTTTAGAGGTAATCTTAGCTTAGTAGGATTTTTTATTAGTAGTAAGAAATATATAAACTAAGTTAATCTCTAGAGAATAGAGATTAATATATTACATTACTATTATATTTTAGTTACGTACGCGTTTTAATTACTTATTAGTTCTTATTATTTATACTAACTATAGTAGCTAAAGTTTAACCTAGTTATAACTATTTACTTTCTATTACTATTACTATTACTATTACTCTTACTACTACCTCTTAATAAGGTTAGCTAGCTTTATTCTTATTCTATATTAATCTTATAGTCCTGTAGTAAGGTTTTATACCTTCTGAATTACTTCTATAAGTCTTCTTTTCTAGGTAGTATACCTAGGGTCTATAAAAGCTTACTTAAAACGCCTCTTATTCTTAGTTAAAAAAGTATTATTACGCTACTTAGTAGTAAGGCTATTAGGTTAGAAGAGCTAGGTGTTAAAGAAAGCCTTATTAGCTTTATAAATATATATAAGAAGAAGCTAAACTTTAACTTTATAAAGCTTTACTTTAAGCCTTTTATTAAGTATAAGACGCTACTTAATATCTAGATTACTTAAGTAGAATATATTACTATTATACTAAGTAATTCTCTTTATTTCCTTCTACTACTTAACTAGGTCTTTAGAGATCTTACTATAGATATTTAGAGTACTATACTAGTACTAGTAATTACTTACTTTAATCCTTTATTTATTAGTTTACTATAAGATATAGCATAGAAACTCCTAGGCTACGCTAATAGAATTATATTATTAGTTAAGTATAATCTTAGTTATAAAGAAAGATAAGATAAGATAAATAAGATAGATAGATAAATAGATAAAGATCTTAACTCTTAAAGCGCGTAGAATATTTATATACTAGCTTATCTATATAAACTATTATTACCTATACTCTCTTTAAAGCTGTCCTAGTTATATATTTAGAATTACTAGTTAATTAAAGAGTTTTTATAACCTAGCTATAGTTTATAATATAATCTAGAGTTTATAACTAAACTAAACTTTAACTAATAGCTACCTAGGCTCTTAAATATACGTCTATACTAGTATATTAAATAGCTAGTTATTAGAAAGATATCTAATTAGCTCTCTATTACTATTACTAGATACTTTAACTAATATTTACTATATAAAAAGAGGCTAGGTAATAGCTTCTATACTAAGTTACTATATTAGATTCTTACTGTATTATGTTTATCTACTTACACTAGAAGCATAAAGATACTATAAACCTAAAATAATAAACTAAGTTAAGGTAGGTAGAAATATATACTTATAAAAGAGGTAATATTACTATTAAGACTACTAGGATTATACTAAGTTAAGAGATTACAAGGGCTATTACAAATAGAGTAGTATAAGAAGATAATATAGTAGTTAAAGTTAATAATAAAGAAAGAAAGTTAATAGGTAAAGAGTTAATAATAGTAGAGGAGTAGTAGTTAATAATAGAAAAATAAAATTTATAGGATTAGAAAACAGAATATTAGAATAGTAAATAGCTAATAGTAGTTAATAGTTATAAATCTTGTAGAATAAGATAGAGAGGTAGAAGAAAAATAAGTTAAAGTAGTATAAGGTAGACTAAGAGTAGAGATATAAGTAGAAATAGACGTAAATAGCTGTAATAGTAATAGAGATAGGTAATAAGCAGTAGATTATAATAAAAAGACATAGAAATAAAATATAATAAAATATACTAAAATCTTACCTATATATCTTTTAATATTTAAAAAACTT